TTTGCATCTATAAGCTTCAGAAGAGGCTTTGGTGATTTTTTTGGCCTGAAAAGCAAACCTATTGATGGAGAAAATGACATGTAGGCTGTATCAATTTACTCTAGTATGATATGGGGGCTGAAAAATGTGTGACATCTCAGTTTCAAACTAACAGGAAAACATAGGTCCAGGAGAGTATCTGAAGATTGTGCTTGTGAGACCTCTATATCTGATTAGTTCCGTTTAAAATGCCACACTTAAGCAGTCCACAAGTTACTGTGTTGGTGGAAGGATTCTGGAGTGCATAGATTCAACAAAAATATTGATTATCATGTCAAATTCCAGAAGAAGAATTTCAGACTGTCTATTTGAACCCAAGTAAAAATAAAGGTAGGCAAGAATAAATATAATAATTGGTCCTTATTCCTCCAGAAGAATACTCTTTACATTTTGCTTCCTTTTCTACCCAGATGCTGGGTTTTTTCAAATCAACTGATCTTCATTAACAGTAGACATAGAAGGAGCTCAAGGGAATATTAGGAAACGCTGCTGATAAACTAAATGTGTTAAGGAAAAGGAACAAGTCAAATGAGCCATTTTTTCATGATCTTTTTCCATATACTGCCCCCCAGTTTTATTGATAGATAATTCAAATATCATACAATTCAACAATTCAAGCACATCAGTAAAAGCTGTACAATCATCACTACATTGGTTTTAGAACATTTTCTTCATTCTTTAATTTATCGTTATTAGCTTACTATCTCTTCCCAGCCTCTCTTGCCATACTCCCAAGGGACTATTAATCTCGTTACTCTCTCTATAGATTTACCTAACCAGGGTTTCATATACAGAAAAAATTAAAAAACAAGCAAAAAAAATAACAACAATAACAATCGACAAGAAACATAAAATAAAACCGGGGGAAACTTCAATCGAAAAGAAAGCAGGAAATATTAAAAACTGAACAAATTTAAATGGGCCATAGAGAAGATCAAATGACAGGGTGCTAAATTTTAACCTACCTGCCTCTGACACAACCCACTTTCCAATGCACTATGCATGTTAGCAAGGCTGTTCCCACCGCTGATACTGTCCATTGCTAAAAAGGGTAAAGTGGAGGTAGTCATGGGAATGCAGAATTGATTGTACCACAATTGTGTGAACAAGCTGAAGTCAGATCTAAGACAAACTTATCCTAACACAAACTCTGTCCAAAACACAAGAAGAAACCTAAAGAGTAAGATGCAACAAAAATATGTTTTGATTAAAAGTTAAATTCTCTGGTGGTAAAAGAAATGCAACACAGAATGTAAATTTTCCCTGACGTTTGCAGTGATGTTGTTTTTCATGTGGCTCTCTTTGTATGGTAGATTTGCTGGATGATTTTAATCTTTGATATATGTGGACACAGACTTTGTAGTATTTACCATCTAAAGATGGGCATTTATTTCTCTGCCCCACAGTAACTTACATATAGCAAACACTTCAATATCTTTTCTAATTTCTTCTATATGAAAGAGATTAGATTCTCTTGTTTTCTCAATTTCCTCACTAATCACTGTTACTGCTTCTTTATTCATTTACTCAAAGGATATTTATCTAAACAGACACGATGATTGTGTTATTGACAGTGATTTTTGTAAGAAATTCTTCCAAAGAACATGTAAGAATCTTCCTGGATTCATAACTTTCTGTCAAATCTTGTTGGTGGATACCCACAGGATATAATCTCTATTGCATACCACACATCGTGTCTTCTCTGTATTACCTGTCTGAGGACAAATTTGTCCCCTCCTTTCCTGGGCTATACACCCCCAAGCCAGAAAAGATAGTACTTTGAACTTGAGAGTTGTTAAAAAATAAGGTTCATGAAATAACTGATACATTTTTGATAGACCGTGAAATGTCATTGTGAAAGATGCGACTGTGGAGCTGACGATCTGTATTTTCCTGTGCTTGATTACCACTGTGGGGTACATCAGCACTTCATCTGTAAAATAGGAGTCATGTATGGTGGGTGGGAAAACTAAAATTTAAAAATGTTACGACATTTAGCTTAGCACCTGGGACTTAATACAGAATCATGAATGTTAGCTATATAATACCATACCTTGATTTTATGATAAATTCAATTATATTTAAAACAAAATAGTCATGTCAGTAAAATAAGCTTGGGGTGTTAGGAAAGGTGTTCATAGATGAAGTGAGAGTAATCACGACTTTCATAGAAATACTGTTTGTTTGTAAGCCTGTTTGTTACAATATAATGGATTACGTGTTTAGGGAAATCACTGGGAAAGCTAGATAGCATCTAAAATAGTTTTTTACACCAGGATTTAACAAGTGAGAATGCAAAGAAAGTCCTCCAAGTACAGAAAAGACAAGAAAGTACTAAGGAGATAGATATTAAAGGAGAGCCAGCAATTTCCCAGTTGTTGCATTAGGCGGCGTTGACTTGTTGGTGACTCATAGTGACCTTGTGCACAACAGAACAAAGCACCACCTGGTCCGTGTCATCCTCACAATTGTTCATCTATTTGAGCTAATTGATGGAGACACTGTTAAACCAACTCATCAAGGGCCTTCCTCCTTTTCACAGCTCCTCCACTCTACCAAGCGTGATGCCCTTCTCTGGGACTGGTCTCTCCTGATAACATGTCCAGAGTATGTGAGACTAAGTCTTACCATCTTTGCCCCTAAGGAGCACTCTGGCTACCATTCTACCAAGACAGATTGGATTGTCCTTTTAGCAGTCCATGGTATTTTCAATATTCTTCACTAGTACCACGATTCAAATGCATCTATTCTTCTTTATTTAATGCCCCACTTTCACATGCATATGAGGCAATTGAAAGTCCCATGGTTTCAGTCAACCGCACCGTAGTGCTCAAATGCTCAAAGTAACATCCGTGCTTGTCAATACTCTAAAAGCTCCTGTGCAGCAGAATTCCCTACGACAGCACAATATTTTGATCTCTTGGCTGCTGCTTTCGTGAACATTGATCACGGATCCAAGTGAGACAAAACCCTTGACAATTTCCACCTTTTCTCTATTTATCACGATGCTGCCTATTGGTCCGGTGTGATTCTGGTTTTCTTTACATTGACTTTTAATCCATCCTGAAAGCTGTAATCTTTGATCTTTATCAGCAGATGCTTCAAGTCTCCCTCACTTCAGCAAGCCAGGTTGCGTCATCTGCAGATTGCAGGTTGTTAATAAGCTTTCCTCCAATCCTGTTGCCTCTTTCTTCTTTATACAATCCGGCTTCTCTGATTATTTACTCAGCATGCACATTGAATAAGGATGTGAGAAGATAGTTTCCCTGTAGGGATGTATTCATCCATTTTGGGCTAAGGGCTGAGATTTAAGGAACAAAATTTTAAGAGGTCGGAGAAAAAATAGTGTCTGTGTTTTAGTAGAGAAAACATGCAGCCACGTAGAAAGCATGGGCTTACAATGGGTGATACCCAGAGATCAACTATATAAACATCGCCCCCTCCTCACAGCACGAACCAATGACGGGCGTGTATCTCTCAGCCGTAAATCAATCAATAATTCTCTAAATCTGTGTTCATGTAGGTATGACATCCATATGTTTTTACTGTTGTGGACAAAACATCACAAGCCAAAAATTGTGGTAAAAGTTATTCTGGGCCAACATTCCTATTAAAGTACTAGACAGACGTAATATAAATGATTTCCGAATTAAAGTTTTTTAAGTTTAGCACCAATATGTCGAAGAAGAAAGATCTGCAGTGTTAGAAGTTAATGAGAATGATGTTTATCGAAGGAAAGCAATTTGAGCTAAGGAGCATGAAAGTGAAAAACAGCCTACTCTGTCTTTCTGAAAACAAAGTTGAGTTTTATCCACAAAGTTAGGGATGACTAATGAACATCTCAAGAACAGATCTTTCTTCATATTAATTTTTTATCTTCTTTCACAAGACCATCTTGTGAAATGTCCATGTTAAGGATCTTGCATAAACACATACATTCTTTTTTCCTTTTATCTCCTACTTAGTTAGAGTACTTTGCCCTAATCCTTTATTGAAATCTCCCCCACTGGTACCTGACCAAATGCCTCTACATTTTAGAATCTTGCTAACTCCTCTGCCCTCCCACCCTTTTGATCAAGCTCGCACTAAGTGATAATGGTCACATCATCTACAATAGAATTGCTATTCTTAAAGGACTGAGTGGCTATATGAAAGAATTTTAGATTTCAGGTACTTTCCCTTCCTAAGCTTGGGAGCCCCTTCCTCAAGGTGAGTAGATGCTTACCAGTCTCAGGTTAATAGACAAGATAAAAGTGGAGGAACAATTCAGTAAGCTCAAACAAGGATAAATGCAAAACAATCAAGATAAGAAGCTTGAGGTATTTTCATTATTTAGAACACCCGAGTAGAACAGATTCAGTGTCCTTAGAATATACAATTCCATGCCTGACTAAATGAAGAGTCTTGGTGGCAACAGTAATCTGTCAGAAATTCATCCAATTTCAAAAGAAAAACATGAACCAAGGGATATCATTGTTGATGTCATGTAGGGATCTTGGCTAAAAGCAGAGAATACCCGAAAGATGTTTATTTATGTTTCATTTACTTTGCAAAGTCATTGGTTTATGTGTATTAGAACATGTTATGGATAACATTGAGGAGAAGGGGAATTTCAGAATGCTTAATTTTGAAACCAGGAGACTGGGAAATCATTGGGGAGAAGGAAAATGTTTTGAGTGGTTAACATTGACAAATATTTGTATTTCATAGAATATTTTCAAGACAATTTTGGAGAAAATGAAATAATGATGCCTATTGAATATCCCCAAGAAAGAATAATAGTGTATGTACATATATCCAAGGGTATTTTTCAGTTAAGGTTGGTGATTGCTTATGAAATGTGATATTAAGTCAATATGGAGAAATTAGCCAGATGCATGACTGCAAAAAAGAAAGAAAAAAAGAAGAAGATGGGTTTCTCTGAAAATAAAGCCATTTCTTCCCCACCTTTTCTTCAACAGATGGCAGGAAGCAGGACCACGGAATGGAATGGAAACTATTCTTCTGTGAGCACCTTTGTTCTCCGGGGTCTCTCAGATGAAAGAGAGCTGCAGCTCATCCTCTTTCCAGTATTCCTAGGGATCTACCTTGTGACCCTTATCTGGAACGTGGGTCTCATTCTCCTAATCAGGATGGACTCCCACCTGCACACCCCCATGTACTTTTTTCTCACTGTTCTCTCGTTTATTGACATTTGCTACTCTACCTCCATCAGTCCAAGAATGCTTTCAGACCTCCTAAAAAATGAAAAAAACATTTCCTTTATTGCCTGTGCCACTCAGTATTTTTGTATGGCCTGGATGGCTCAGACTGAGTGCTGTCTGTTGGCCGTCATGGCCTATGACCGATACGTAGCCATTGGTCGCCCTCTGCAGTACACAGCCATAATGGCTCCTGGCCTCTGTGGGAAGATGGTCACTGTGGCCTATCTGAGTGGTTTGATTAGTAGTTTATCTCAAACAGTCTCTTGCTTTAACCTTTCCTTCTGTGGGCCAAATATCATTCAAAATTTCTTCTGTGACTTGCCTCAGATTCTTTCCTTGTCTTGCTCCGATCATTTCATCAGCCAAATGACTCTCATTCTAGCAGCTGTTCTTATTGGGGTTGGGTCTTTGTTTATTATCCTGTTATCCTATGGTTTCATTGCAGCATCCATTCTGAAAATATCCTCAGACAAAGGAAGTGTCAAGGCCATCCATACCTGTGTCTCCCACCTGGCAGCAGTGACCCTCTACTATGGCACAGCCCTGTCTGTGTACTTGTGCCCCAAGCCTAGTCAATGCATGAAGCAGGACAAAGTGGTATCAGTGTTCTATGTCATCGTCATCCCCATGTTAAACCCTCTGATCTACAGTCTGAGGAACAAGGAGATCAAAGCAGCCCTCAAGAGGATTAGAAAGAAACCAACAGGTGTACCTTAGTTAGGATAATATTTGGACAGGTATTATCCCTATAAGAAAGATGGAGGTAGCCATGTATAACTTACTTTTGCAGTCACATCAATAACTCGACAGTGAGAAGTAAAACTTGACTTCCTTATTTCTTATTGCCATCATACTTAGCTATCATCAACAAGTAATTTGATGCAGTAATGTTGCTTAGAATTTAGAAAGCCAGTTCCCTTAATTATACCCAAGGTACTTAAAAGACTAAAAGGTGCTGTGTGTTGAGAAGAGTAAATATTATATGTATAGACATGATATGTAAGAATCCAGGATACCATGTTTCCTCTTCAGATTTTATAGTTTCTTCATTATTGAATATTTATGTATGTACCAATAAAAATAAAATTAAATAATATGTAAAATTACATATATGAACAATAAAATTAAAAACATTTTATAACATTGTTCCCAAACAAGAGAGAAGGCGATTAAGAGGAGAGTACAGAACCTTGTTACTTTCATTTTACCTCTCAATCAAACGGAAGGAATAAATTATATAACAGATACAGGAGATATGAAAACGTAAGAATGAAGGGAGCTCATTTCATGGTCAAGGATTTAGAAGATTCCTGGATTCTAAAAATAAGGTAAAGATTAGAAATTTCTGGATCTAGGTGGGCCTGGAGCATGCGCCATGGTAGCACCCTGGACACTGTGCAAACCCATCACAAAGGAGGTTTCCTTGTGTGCCCAGGAAGACCAGCCCTGAGTCTCAGACAGCTGAGGGTCTCATTAATTTGCTGGTCTTACATTTGTCTAGGTAGTAGTAGAGTCACCAGCCTCAGGTGTACCGCAAGGACACAGAGCCCAATGGGAAGAATTTAAAGAAAACTTTACAGTTATTTCTTTCAGACTGATTTCATGGGCCATGTTTTATGCATATATAACATGTTGCATTTGATAGAGTTCTATTGCAAGATTTTGATTTATAAAGCCATTTTCCTGCACAAATACCTACAAAATGATTTTTTAAAATCTTGTATTCATGAGTGTTGACAGAACCAGGGGAAAAAGGAAATGGAGACAGCGGGGACCTGGCCAAGTGAGACCTAAACCAGAAGGGACAAAAAATCCATGACAACCGGAACCAGCGGGCATTACCTTGAGAGCATCCTCACTCTGAATTACTTGTGTTGTTTCATCATCTCTACCCTTAACAACACATTTATAAAGATGCAAAGCGGTGGACATTTCTCTTGCTTTGTGCAAATGGGCAATTAGTTTCATGGATCTACATAGATATTGG